TTATTATTTATTATTATTATTATTATTATTATTATTATTATTATTTATTATTATCTTGTAAATTTTTATTTACTTTATTTTAATAAAATACAGTACCTATATTTATACTATATATTCAAGTACCTCCCTATATGTCGGTCAACACTAATCTTGGTCTACAGTATTAACGTTCACTATGTAAACGAATAGCCTCGCGTTAGTTACTGTGAAGATTAATATATTCCTCTACCGTATCATTATTAATACCCATTGCTTTTACTGCTTATAATTTTGATCAACTATTTGTTACTGCATCTATTTAATAGTGAGTGTGATGAACTTGGCTCAGAAAGTATCTTCATTGCAGTGTTATACGTGTGATGCGTATTTAGATTTCGGGACACCTTGTACTGTAAATGACCGATATTCGCCACAAGTCTTAAATTGCTCCAACAAATGCTACGTAAGTATTATACCCTTAATTTATTATTTACAAAATCTGATTTAATCAACATTTGAACACTTATTATAAGAATTGAAAAGAAAAAAGACCGAGATACTACAATCCAACAGATCAAATGATGTCAAAATTAAACTATATCCAGAAAATAATACAATGTTATAGATAATTAATACTAATTCCATTTTCATTTATATGTTTCAACTAATACAATGATCCCTCTTTTTCATTCCTCAAATATCAAAACATGTGAGAATTTTCGTATGGATTCTTTTTGTAAGATAAGCCAATTTGAACTTAAAAAATAGTTTCAACGCAGAAAGTGCAATAATTTGAAATACAGGCATTCATGTCTTTCTTTAAAAAAAAATTTGAATATGCTATGCAATAAAAAATATCAAGTTGCTTAAAATATTAATGATATTAAGAAAAAAATACATCCGCGCAGGAGAAATTCGATCAGGTTTTCTCCAGGTGTCATGATATAATTCAAAATCTGTCAACTAATACATTTATGATATCATAATAGACGCGCAGGCTGTGCTTCAATTGCTAGAAATTGGATTTTCTCTTGGTCGTTAAAAAATAAGAAATTGCTATACTATCTACCACTGAAGACGAGAAAGCGAGAGGCAAAATAGACATTATGTGACCTAGAGATATGGTCGTTCAGTGACGAGACGTGGATGTTATCTTAAGAAGATAGGATTCGTATTTAGCATTTTCTCGTTTCAGATGCGTTCAGTGGTAGGCCTATTAAAACAAATTTAGAAAGATCAGTATTACACTTAAACCAAGTAGAGGCCTCTGTGAACCAGTCACATTGGCGGATCCAGGAATTTGAAATAGAGAAAACCTGGGGAGAGACTCACAGATGCAGGATCTAGCAGGGGCGGCGCTAGCGGGGTGCGGGGAACAAGGCCCCGTCGGGGACCTGTAGACCCCCGCTTGCCACCCCCTCCCACCCCGTCGGGGGATTTCTAGCAAGGTCGTCGAGGTAAAATCAAATCTCGAGCGCCGGAAGTACAATTCAAGCATGCCTTACTAAGCTGTTAAATTTTAGGGATTAAAAACTGTGTAGTGCGTAGTGTTGTATACCATAATATCTGACATTGAATCTTGGCTCTCTCATAACATGCTTAAATTAAATCCTTCCAAAACTGAATTTATTGTTTTCCTATCACGATTTATTACCCCAAAAACAACCTTCCCCTCTTTTATTCTCGGATCAACTGAAATTAAACCATCCTCATCGGTTAGGAATCTTGGTTTTGTTATGGATGAGTTTTTTTCGTTAAATCTGCATATCAATAAAATTTGTCAATTTGCCCATTATTACTTGCGTAACCTTAAAAAGATTCGTAAATACTTAAATTCTAAATCTTCTGAAACACTTGTCCATGCCTTCATTTCTTCAAAACTTGATTACTGTAATTCTCTATTGGTTGGCTTACCATCTTTTTCTATCAACCGGTTGCAGAAATTCAAAATTCTGCTGCCTGAGTGTGCTCTCTCACCAAGAGGCGTTTACATAATACACCGATCATTCGAAATCTACATTGGCTGCCTCTCCGACAACGCATCTGTTTTAAGATTCTTATCATTTGTTTTAAGGTTCGTCAATCTAAACAACCCTCCTATCTCTTTCACCTTCTGAAATGTTATGTCCCTAACCGACGACTCCGCTCTGAAAACAAAAATCTTCTCGTCATCCCAAAATTTAAAACAAGAACATACGGCAAAAGAACATTCGCCTATGCTGCTTCATCGCTGTGGAACGAATTGCCACTCTCTATCAAACTGTCTCCCTCTATTGATGTACCGGTATTTAAGTTAAAACTGAAATCCCATCTCTCTAACTCTTTTTAGACCATCCCCACTTCGCATTTTCAATTTTTAAATCTTTCTCTAGTTGTACTCTCTGCGCTTTTGATCATTTATTTGAAATTAACGCATTATAAATATTTTCTATCAAATTATACTTTTTAAATTAGGAAACCCGCATAATTAACACAAAATTTTAATATTTTGTAATAAAAAATATTTTCGGAAAAATTTAATTTTTTTCCCGACTGTGGGTGTGGATCCCTTGTCAGGGATCTTGGACCCCTCGTCGGTGAATTCCTTGCGTTGCCCTTGGGGTGTAGATCACCCCAGCTCCACCATGGGTGGGGCTAAGGTAAGAACATTTATGATTATGGCACCTCTAGATGGAAGGCAACTGGCTCTCAAACTTTTGAAAAAGTAAGGGGTGTGTGGTTGGCTGGGGGCGGGGAGGCGGCTGGGACGGGTTGGATCTTAGGTTTACACTGCCTTTTTGCGCCTACGAGCATCAACCATCGGCGTTCTTTAGCTAATAGAGGATATAGAGGTTATAATACAGGCTACTAACGTAATAAAAAGTAAACATTAAAGACTAAAAACCAATAACATAGTATCTATCAGAATTCGGACTCATCGCGGTAGCTTATTTTCATTAAGGGAAAACCATACGGTATACGACAGAATTATATTATGGTCAAAATCTTCTATTAAAGATTAGTATAGGCTTACACTATAATAATGCTTTATGCATTTACTTGCAGAGTGAGGTCACAAGGGTCGGTAGTTGCATCATCAACTTCAAAAGAGGCTGTACATTGTCAAATGACTGTGAGGAGGAGAGCGAATGTGCAGAGTTTATCCAAGTTGGTACCTGCAGAAGATGCTGCACAGAAAATAACTGCAATAATGAAGATGCAATGGCAGTTGTGCCGATCACTGAAACAGAACCCGGCAGCACCGCAATCACGATTTCACTAGCTTCAGCCTGGTCAATTTATTCGTTTGGCTTACTATCACAATATGTGTTCTAGTTGCAATTGCTGGAAAAGTTTGCATCACTGATTGCTTATTGGTTGATTTTAGTGACGCCACCAGCGCCATGTTGGGGAGCCCAATATGTCACGACGGCGTTATCACAAAGCGTTTACAGCGCTTTTGAAAACTAATTTTTAAAAAAGGGGGTTAGAGGATGTGAACAAATATTCCATAACATTTATTTGTTTATATTAAGTATTGCAAGAATGGTTATTTTAACAATAGTTCAATCAAATGCCATAAAAATCTTGACAGACTGGCATGTCACTTGGGCTCTTGCATACGGCGTCGGTGGATTCACTTTTTCCTGTACGAATGCCCAATGAGCAATCCAACCATTATGATTGGTACCAGTGGTTTGTATACCGCTTGTACCTCTAATTTCATTACACATATTTTAATATTAAAATATTGCCATACCCTTTGAAACACGCCCTCTATTAATATATTCTGTTGATTGAATGCTAATTGACTATTGTTACATTGGTTTCGTGGGATAGTAACACTGGTACGCAAATTTAGTGCTTTTAATTCAGCGTCATATGGCATAATGTCTAGTAAAAATACAATTTGTTCTAAACCGCAGTGGAAGGGGAGATAAAGTCATAAAAATCAACTTTATTGAACAAAATTAATAATATAAAATAGGATAGTAGGAATGTACGATGTATGGCAGCTGTTATGACCTTTCTTGTAAAAAAGTTTCGGATTAATGTTGGAGCTATCGTGTTTATATTTAGGGGGTGGAAAGTTTTTGTGTGTAGAGTGTTATTGTGTACGTTTTATTATAATGTGTATGAAATATATATATATATTATACTCGCGCTACTTTGTTTAATTTAATGAAGAAGAACATTTATTTTTATCTTCTGAAATACTGAATAATTACAAAATAATGATGTTAAAATGTGTTAGAATTTAGCTTGCGTTGCAAACTCAACAAATTAACAGTAAAGTTACTTAATAACTACATTTTATTGTTAATTGTAATCATAAATATCGGAATAAATGTCAAGCAATATATTGTATTTGACATTGTAGGTAAAATTAGCTTGAAATAAAACATGTGATTAATTATAATTATTATAATAATTTTTTATGGTTATTACGATTATAAAATAATAATGATTATTTTTCAATCTTGACGTCATCACTGCAACTCCCAATGTCATTTGCCTATAACTAATGAATTTTTTTAAAGCATTAAATTTAACCTTCGTGTACTATGTAGTATATTTTTATCATTAGACCACAGTGAGCTTACTGTTTTTTAATAGTCTAATTGAAAAAGCATCAATAACCTAGTCTAGGGCTATGTAATGTTACATCGATCATAAAATTGCTTTGTAATACGCTTTGCGTGTAGAAAATAATTTGTCCGCAGTTATATTGTATCCCATTGCGTATGATTCCACTTTTTGGAGATAATGATTTTATAGAAATAGTGTGCAATACGTTAGGTTTGTAACAGAGCGTCAGAGTAATTCGTAATATATTATGCCAATAAACATGATTTCACTCTTTTTTGTATTGACATAAATTATCTCTAGAAGTAGATGTAATGTATTTTTATACCATCTGTTTTTAATTTCCAAATCAGTATTTTTAGTGTAGACTGAACACTAAATATAGCATTTTATTAAAGATGTATCAGAAAGTGATAATCGTGATCAAATTTTTTCGAGCTTAACTTGGACTTAGTAATTTATTGAATATTAATTGACAACGAGAAATTGTTGTATGTGTATAACAGTTTCTGAGAAGGATGGACGTGTTATGGTTCAAGTTCAGTCACTGCATTTATAGTGATTGAGTACAGGATAGCGGCTCCAGAAATTTGCCTACAAGGGATCCGAACCCGGAGGCAGACTAGAGCCCGATCGGGGTCCTGGAATAAATTGACATTAAAATTAACGTTATTTGGATAGACCTTGGTAAATTATTTTTTAAATTTTTGATCCGATGACCTCGTTGTGGCGTCGGCTTACAGTGGGTGTAGGCTTGTCCAATGAGGTGTGTGTGTGGGGGGGGGGGGTTCTCCGTGCATCCCTGCTGGCGCCAACATTAATGGAGTGCATGGCAGATCTAGCCTTGTAAAAAGTGGAGTTGTGGAGGTGTAGCTTGGTGTTTATGATGCTTGCCTTTCAACGGATTCCGCTAAGCCCAGCCCATTGGTTATTGTTGACAAGGTACCAGAAAACAACAGGGGAAAGCGCGTATATCTGGTCAGTGGCGTATC